AACCTGAATACACACAGACTCATGGGGACTTGTATCATGGTGGGAACCTAAATTGAGGTCCCCACGGGTACAGAAGCTTATAAATCATACAGAATGAGTTTGTTTTTTTGTCAAATTGATTATAAAACTGCTGAAGGTTTTCTGTGAGGGGCAGGTTTAGGTGTAGGGTGATAGAAAATACAGTTTGTACAGTATAAAAACCAATACGCCTCTGGAATGTCCGCGCAAGACTTATTTCAAAACCCAACTGCAAAGTTTTGAACGATAATATACTCTAGCTGAATATTAAACCTCAAATATGATTTGATCGGTTGTGAATTAGCCATTTTGCCCAGAATTTATACTTATGCATTTATACTGTCAGTGGACAGAAATATGACTTGTCGCGTCACACCTGATTAAAGCACTCGGCCCAGTTTCCCTTCTCCTGTCCTTTACTGCCAGCTGTAATGCATTATTCAAATATAATGCCTGAATAATCACTGAATGTGTATGTAGGTCAGCAGCGGGGCTTTATGACGGCCATTATGCTGCAGATTCAGTCCGAGTGAAGTTCTCAAATGGTTTTACGCTGAAGCAGAGCAGACTGTGTTTGTAAAGAAAAGGACCGGCAGCAGTGAGTCATTACTGCTTTCATCTGAGCCTCAAAACATCACACATGCTCTGCCTTCACTGTCATAGCAATAAGAGCCCGGCTCCTAGAGAGAGTTCTCTGAATTAAAGCTGCAAAATAATGACTGTTCAAACAGGTTTCTCAGAAACGCCACAATAGTCCATCACGCGGCTCTCTTTCATACGAAAGGGATCTAAAACACGTACTTGGCTTCATCAGCGGTAACGATGGCTCTGACAGATGGTTTATTGTGTGTGTGTCTGTAGGTGGCGGATCTGGAGGCTCACGGCGGTCAGGGACCCAGCGACATGCTGAAAGATGAGCTCACCCAATCCCTGGAGGAGCTGGAGAACCTGCTGAAGGCAAAGGACGGGGTGAGAGCCGACACACACACACACTGACGGAGGGGAGAGTCCAGCGACCTACAGATGCACTTCACTGAAAGTCACCAGTCCAGTTACTGCAATCATCTCCTCAAACTCCTCTATACAAGACACACAACGCATGGACCCGTCTCAGCAAGACCTCGCTGTATTATATGTTTCTGCACATTATTGCATCTCTGTACATTTCAGGAGATCCGTATTCTCCAGAGTAAGAGGTCGAACTTCCATGAGCTGGAGCAGGAGAGAGAAGAAGCCATTCACAGACTACAGGTGCTGGAGGACATCACAACAGTAAAAAAAACAATGACTTATTTTGAAGTATTAATAATGCACTTTAATGCATCACAGAAGTGTCATAAATGTATTTACACAGGATTCACAATTTACATTAAATTATTATTTTATTATTTTAATTATATTTTTAATAATACATTATTATTATTTAAATAATGTAATAATATTTTAATAATAATTTAGCTTTAGATTTAGCTTCAAAATTGTCACTCATTTCTGGAAAATTCAACCGAAGCATCAATGACTTCAGTTCAAAATATAGGTTTAAAAAAAATTCACAATTGTATAGAGATCAGCTGCTGTGTTTTTTTTGTTGTTTGTTTGTTTGTTTTTTGCATTTGTATTTACATTCAATTATTATTTTCATTTTAGTTATACATTAAATACATTTTTTATAATAAAAAAGAATATTTAAAAAATATTATTAAAAATATAATATTTTAATAATAATGTAATTAAAATAATTAAATAAAAATGTATTATGATTGTATTTTTGCATGTTTCATTTACATTCAATTATTTTAAGTAAAATAATAGTTTAATAATATTTTAAAATAAAATAATTATTTGTATTTTAATAATAATTTAATTAAAATAATAATGTAATTATATTAACAATTATTAAATATGAATAATTTAGCTTAAAAATGTTCATGCATTTCTGTAATGTTCAACTTGAATGGCTTGAACACTTCATAATCAAAATCATTGGTGTTTTTTTTGTTAGATTTTTATTTTTATTTTTATTTTTACATTTACATAACATTGTCATTTTAAATTATTATTTTAATAATAATAACAATAACAACATTTTAATAATAGTGAAAATTATATTTCAATTATAATTGAGCTTAAAAATGGTCACATATTTCTGTAACATTCAACTTAAGCATGAATACTGTAGCTGTTATGTAAAAGTCAAATACATTTTTACGAATGCTTTAAAAGATTAGATTAAAAAGAAATCACAATTTTACAAAAAAAAAATCTAAAACTACTAATGTTGTTTTTTTGCATTTTTTTACATTTACATAAAATTTATATTTTAGTAATTAAAATAATTTAATAATTTTAAGCTAAATTATTATTAAAATGTCACGCCTTTCTGTAACATATCTATAGAAGTCAAATACATTTTTATGAACACTTTAAAAGTTGAGGTTAAAAAATGTCAGAATCATGTGTTTACTTTGATATTCTTCTTCATGCAGTACTTGAGTATGTGTGCTGCTTTGTGTAGTGTGCGTGTGTGTGTGTGTGTGTGTGTGTGTGTGTGTGTGTGTGTGTGTGTGTGTGTGTGTACAGGTTTATATAT